TGGTTGTTTCATCCAAATTGGTTTGGTATATCAAAAGTTATGGTCAAAAATGTGTAAAACTCTTAATATTAACAATAAACAAGTAGATCAATATTATGATTAATATTATAAAAAAATAAGTTAATGCAGAAATTAATTCAGCTTTTGCTGCATTATATTGTTCAGCAAATTTTTTAAAATAATTTGAAGCTTTAAACTCCATCTCTCATAATTATGCTTGATTGTTTTAAGAAATGATTTAAAAAAGCTTGAACTATAAATATAAATAAAAAATTTAAATAGATTTTAAAAAGAAAAAAATAAAATAAACTATAATATATATATTCTATGGTTAAATTAACAGGTTATTTAACTTTCTAAATATTGTTATTAACATTAGGCTCTTTTGTCTCTTGGGTTTTGTTAATATTTTAAAACACATTACTCAACATAAAGTTGTAATTGTAATGTTGGTTATTTCTATAAGTATAAAGTAATGCATAAAAAGAATAATTGATTGATATAATTCTTTAATTTTAAAATAAAATTATTAAATATAGTATATAAAATTAGTTTATATAATATATTTAGTATATATATTTTTTTATAAAAAATTCTATTTTGACTAAGTCAAAATAAAATTTCTCTTTTTTTTATTTATATATAAATTTAAATTATAAATATTGTGTTTAATACAATAAATTAATTGCTTATTACATCTAATATATACAATAATTGCATTATAATATTGTGTTTAATACAATAAATTAATTGCTTATTACATCTAATATATGCAATAATTGCATTATTATAAAGTGTTAATAATTAAAAAACATTTAATAACCTGATATAGTATTTGTCAGCTACTACATCTTAATGTTTATATAGTACTTTAAATAATCCCAATAGAACAAGTATATATACAAATTTTAACATTAACAATATAAAATAAATTAATTCTATTTTTTTGACTTAAAACTAAAAATTTTGTATCTATTTTAGATTGTTGAATTTTGTTATATTAATTTAATCTTATCTGAAATATAAAAATTATTTCACAATTTAAAGATAACTAGAATAATTATTTGCTAATTCAATCAATTAATGTTCATAAAACCATTCTATATTTCTAATAATAAACTGAAATATTTGAACACTATTGTATACTTATATACATATAAATATGATGTCTTTTAATAATCTAAAAGTGTGTTCTATATAATTGTTTATATTATTTTTTAGAGTAAAAAGTTCGGAATAAAATAATACTGTTTATAATTATTATTTATTTCAAAGTAATTCAAAATGCCTTTGTAATAGTAGATATATTAAATAATAGTTGGTTTTTAATTTATTATAAAACTTTATTATTTCAAGGTCTATTTGTATATATAAGATTTTTTTAATAATTTTCATTATAGATAACTTGTGTTCTTTACTTATATTGTGTATTGAATTATATAACTAATGCCAGAAGGCCTGATAATCATAATTTGTACAAAATTTAGAATCCCAGAGAATATGAGATATACTAATAATCATTTTGACTATAGCCAACATTTTTTTAATGCATTTTGTTTAGCTTTTGAATTATTTGTAAAAAAATTCATTAGACTAATATTAGGTTTATGACCAAAGAAATCATATTGTAAAAAAAGTTTTTTAAAAAATTAAATCTTTTTTTAAAAGTTATCTCTAGTTTATCTAATGTTATAATAAGACCAAGAAGTAATGCCTCATGTTACAGCTTGTGTAAAATAAGGTAATAGATGTATTTAGTGGTTTAAAAGATGCTAATGCATCTATATAAAAGAGTTCTAATTTTGTTATAAATATAATACATCAAATTTGTAACTATATATAAAATAAATATATTTGATAATTGAGAGTTATATTGTTAAAGTATTGCATGACCTTGTTCAAATATTTGTAATTATTAACTTCATGCTTAAGATGCTAAAACATTGTTATGCTATTTTGTTCACTGAGTTGTTTATTATAATATTGTTAAAACAAATTTAAAACATATCCAGTTTTTTTTAAAACAAGATATAATAATAATTTAAATAAATATAATTTTTTAATTAATATTATATTATTCAAATATTAATTTATTAAAAATTTTTACCATAATTAGGATTTTGAATATAATTTGCTAATAATTATACAAGTTTCTAATCACTATTTGCATGCAAATAAATTATATTCTTATAAGTATGTCATGCTAATGCTGGTGTATGACTATAAGTAAAGAGCTTAAGATATTTGTTACAAACATTTTCTTTAACCTTTCAGAAACTAAGAAACTTAGCTAAATTAATTATATAATTATATATAAATTTTATGTTAATTTCAAGTAGATAAATAGTTTGAAGGTTCTAATATTCAAGTCTAATATGAATTATAACTATTGTTAGAAGGATTTTGGGTTCACAAAATACAGAGTCAAGGAAAATGTGACAGATTGTCACTCAAAAATATCAAACATTGTGAAATGTTGTACTATAGAAGAGGCAGAATTATTTGGCAAGACTAAGGCATGAGTGCAAGGTCTTAGTTTATTACTAAGATGGTTTTTATTACTAATATAGCTATTACTATTCTAAATTCCCTTCCTCTTCTCTCCTTTTCTAACTCTAAAAAAGATGCTCTTATATACAAGAATGGTGCCCCACAAAAAAAGATAGCACAGGGGCTCAAGATCAAACATTTTCCTACTGAACTCAATAGTTCAGATCCATTATTATGATCCAAACCTTGAATTGCCTCATGTGGCACAAACAACTAGCCCAATCTGGCAGATCTACCTCAACAAACAGCTATAATACCTGATTCTGCATTATTATAGCATTGTTTCAGTTAGATACTTGGCTTTCAAGTTTTTCAAAATGCAATTAATGCACAATTATTTGCTTGTTTCAGAGGCATTCTTACTATAAGAGGGCATGGGTTAGGGTGGCACTGAGTTAGAGCAACTTTGGTATCCATTTTGCCCTTAACACTATACACTCTGTATTTTAAGAATGCAAGAAATAAAATTTTTGATTATAAAATTTTCTTGCTTTTGCATAATGATCTTACTATGAATACAATATTATAATTTTTAAAAAATAACTTTTTTCTTAAATTTAAAAGTTTTTACTTTAGGCATTATAGTTTTTGATATTTCTTTATATTCAGAAATCTATTGTTAAGTGCTTTTAATGTTATTAATATTACCAAAAAGGTTTATTCAAACTGATTAATTAAAAATTTTTTCAAAATAATGTAATTAGAAAATTGTTAAAATTTAGATACTATATAACTATAATTTTGTAGAAAAATATACACAATATTTTCTGGCATTATTCTGCTAATAGTCCTGATAATAAAGATATATTATTTGATATTTTTATATCAGATGACTGTTTTAATATGTTATGTGTTAAGGCATAGCTTGATGATATATTATTTTGTAGAATAACAGATGCAATATTTTCTAACAATAATTCCACTAATGGTTCTGAAAATGTAAATATATTTCTATATTAAGTAACTGTTCTGTTATATTATATGTCAAGACAAGGTTCAATAATCTATAATGCTATAGAAGAATAGATGCAGCATTTTTTAACAATAATACTAACAGTTTTAAAAATGTAAGTATATAATTTGATATTTCTATTATCAGTAACTGTTTTGTTATATCATGTATCAAAACAAGGTTCAATGATCTATAATGCTATAGAAAATAGATGCAACATTTTCTAACAATAATGCTAACAGTTCTGAAAATATAAATATATTATTTGATATTTCTATTTTAGATAGTTGTTTTATTATATATATATTAAAACAAGATTTTAGAGATGTGGCAACCTAGTAAAGTGGTCAGGTTGTCAACCCTCTCAGTGGTAGGTTGGGTATTCAAATCTCATCGATGGTGAAAATTTGGATAATCACCTATATAATATTCATATTATGCCAACTGTTACTAATAATTGAATTAGAATACCTGTAATGGCAGTTGCACTAGCATGACTGGCAGGTCATAAAGCATCTATGTAAATATGGCATTACACAGAGAAATGCAAACAACAGATTAGGCAGTGCAAACACTAGATAAGTCCTTGTGGCTGTGTAAATCTGTTGAAATTAGATAACAAAAAGTCCATTTAAGAAGACCTGAGTAAAGAGGTAGCTAAATCTTCAATGGCCCTACTGTAAAGGCTAGTCTGAAGAA